GTATCATCTGTATCACTTTTTTCCCCTCTAAAAAGTTTTTACTAAACACATTCATTGTGAATAGAACTAGTTAGATTTTAGGAATTTTTGGAAGATTTGAATCTGAAAGGTTTTTTTTGGGACGGAGTTTCGCTCTTGTTACCCAGGCTGGAGTGCAATGGCGCGATCTCGGCTCACCACAACCTCCGCCTCCTGGGTTCAGGCAATTCTCCTGCCTCAGCCTCCTGAGTAGCTGAGATTACAGGCACGCGCCACCATGCCCAGCTAATTTTTGTATTTTTAGTAGAGACGGGGTTTCACCATGTTGACCAGGATGGTCTCGATCTCTTGACCTCGTGATCCACCCGCCTCAGCCTCCCACAGTGCTGGGATTACAGGCGTGAGCCACTGCGCCCGGCCTTTTTTTCTTTTAATTCATTGACACATTCGTATCTAAAAAAAAAAATCAAAAAGTTTTTTCGGGTTTTTAAAAAAAAAAAAAAAAGGCTGGACATGGTGGCTTACACTTGTATGTAATATTCTAGCACTTTGGGAGGCCAAGGCAGGATTGCTTGAGGCCAGGAATTCAGACCACCTTGCTTAACATAGTGAGACCCTGGCTGTATGGAAAAAAATAAATAAATAGATAAAAGGTAGGAGAGTCCATAAGGCATAACCTAATTTTTAAAACTAAAATTAGCATGCATATTAGTGAGAATATGAATTGTGGATTACGAGATGCCATTGGCACTTCACGTTTTTTGAGACAGGGTCTCTGTCACCCAGGCTGGAGTGCAATGGTGCGATCATGGCTTACCTAAACTTCCCAGACTCAGGTGATTCTCCCACCTCAGCTTTCTAAGTAGCTGGGGCTGCAGGCAAGCACCACCACAGCCAGCTAATTTTTTGTTTTTTTGTTGTTTTTGATAGAGATGGGTTTTGCCAGGTTGCCCAGGTGGTGTCACAAGCACCTTCTATCCCTTAGTGTGGGCTGCACTCTTGTAGTCTTGAGATGGCTTTTCTCGATTTAACAGTTTTTAAGAGACAAATGGCAGGCTTTCCCACTGTTTCTTCTCAAAGCATTTCAGGTAAACTGATAGCTACATTTTGATTATGTTCAGGGCCTCTCCTCTCACCGGAATTTGGACTCGGATCTACTGATTTAGCCCTGGAATGGTGTAGAGCAGAATAAAGTGTGGAGACATGCCTGTAATCCCAGCTACCTGGGAGGCTGAGGCAGGAGTGTCACCTGAACCCGGGAGTCGGAGGTTGCAGTGAGCCGAGATTGTGCCATTGCACTCCAATGGGCAACAAGAGCAAACTCCATCTCAAAAAAAAGTGTGGTCAGGTTAAAACACATCAAATTTGGGCCTTAAAAAACATTTCTTTCTTACTACGAACATTCAGTTCCTAAAATGTTTCAAGTTGTCTGAAGTCACATTTTTATTATTTAAAAAAGAAACCCCAGCTGGGTGCAGTGGCTCACACCTGTAATCCCACCACTTTGGGAGGCTGAGGTGGGTGGATCACCAGAGGTCAGGAATTCCAGACCAGCCTGGCCAACACATGGTGAAACCCCAACTCTACTAAAAATACAAAAAATTAGCCGGGGGTGTGGGGGTGGCCGGTGCCTGTAGTCTCAACTACTACGGAGGCTGAAGAAGGAGAATCACTTGAACCCAGGAGGCGGAGGTTGTAGTGAGCCGAGATCGCACCATTGCACTCCAGCCTGGGCGACAAGAGCAAGACTTGATACTAAAAAAGAAAAAGAAGGCCGGACGCAGTGGCTCACGCCTGTAATCCCAGCACTTTGGGAGGCCGAGGCGGGCGGATCACAAGCAAGAGATCGAGACCATCCTGGCCAACATGGTGAAAGCCCGTCTCTACTAAAAATACAAAAACATTAGCCGGGCATGGTGGCACGCGCCTGTGGTCCCAGCTACTCGGGAGGCTGAGGCAGAAGAATCGCTTGAACCCAGGAGGTGGAGGTTGCAGTGAGCTGAGATTGTGCCACTACACTCCAGCAAGACTCCATCAAAAAAAAGAAAAAGAAAAAGAAACCTCATGAGTCACATAAAAGTTGCCCCTAAGGCTTTGGAGGTCATATGGCCTATTGTAACTACTCTGTGTTGCTGCTGCAGGGAAGTGTAAAGCTGTGCGTGAGCGAGTGTGGCTGTGTTGCAGTAAAACTTTATTTATAAAAAGTAGCAGCAGGCCAGGTTTGACCTGAAGCCTGTAGTTTGCTGACCCATCAACTAAACTCAAATTCTCTAACACTTGGATTAGGACTATTTGTGGGTTGCATCACTTTCACTTGCTTATGTATACCTGCACTTAAGAAACAAAATATTTAATGGAAAACGATCTCTTATCTGTGTAGTGAATTACAGACCCTGTTTTATTTAAAAAAAAAAAAACTAGACAACTTCTCATTTATCTGGATCTGAAATTAAAATCACTTAAAATGTGTCTGAGAACTCCTAGTACTCGGCCATCAAGACTGTGTAAGTGAAAAGTAACTCTCGTGAGCTGCTAATGATGTGGACGCCATTATAATTTTTTCCCAAGATGGATTCGTTACAATACTGCATTTTTTTGGAAAGTTTGAACGGAAAAGGGGTATGTTGCTTAGAACCTTGTCCTAGTACCTGCAAACCCTTGAGTCTGTTTGAGAGGAGTGCTGGTCATGATCGTCGCAGCTTTGAATCCCCTGTTCTGTGTTCTGCTTCTGGGCTAGATCTCTGCAAACCAGCAGGAAGGGGAATACAGCTCATGGGAGAAAGGGACAAGCTCCTGTGTCTGCCTCTGCTGAGCAGTACGGTCCAGGCAATTCGGCTTCCATTGCGCAGTTTCCCCCATGCTCCCAGAATTAGCTTCAGTGCAGCCCCTTAGAGATAAGGGGCCAGGAGGCAGGCCTCCTCCATCTCCCCACTGTGCCCCGCTTCAGACTTGTGAATTCTATTCATCCTGATCTTTTCCCTTTTCTTACCCAAACCCTAAGGGGTGGTATTTGTTCACTGCAGCTACTACCTCAGTGAGACTACTGATTTTTGTTTTTAGAGACAGAGTCTTGCTCTGTCACCAGGCTGGAGTGCAGTGACGCCATCTCAGCTCACTGCAACCTCTGCCTCCCAGGTTCAAGCAATTCTCCTGCCTCAGCCTCATGAGTAGTTGGGACTACAGGAGCACGCCTCCACACCCAGCTAATTTTTTGTATTTTTAGTAGAGACAGGGTTTCACCATGATGGCCAGGATGACCTCAATCTTTTGACCTCATGATCCCCCTGCCTCAGCCTCCCAAAGTGCTGGGATTACAGGTGTGAGCCACCACACCCAGCCTTGATTTTTTTTTTTGAGTCTCGCTCTGTTACCCCGGCTGGAGCGTAGTGGCGCAATCTTGGCTCACTGCAACTTCCACCTCCTGGGTTCAAGCAATTCTCCTGCCTCAGCCTCCCTGATAGCTAGGATTACCTGCCACCATGCCCAGCTAATTTTTGCATTTTACTAGAGGTGGGGTTTCACGATGTTGGCCAAGGTGGTCTTGAACTCCTGCCTTCAAGCAATCCACTTACCTCGGCCTCCCAGAGTGCTGGGATTACAGGCATGAGCCACCATGCCTGACCAATTTTTTTTTTTTTTTTTTGGCAGCACTTTTATTTTTCCTTACACAATGATGTGTTGCTGGGGCCTAATGTTCTCACGTAACAGAAAAAAAAAATGTGTTGTTATTTCAAAGAATCGAGAATTGCGTACAAGAAAATCTTACATAAAAGGATGAATACATTTACAGGTGGAAATGCAAACTGCTTCCAACTCAAGACAAGTAGCAGCTCATGGTGTTCTAGCAGGAAAACAGCTAAGAAAGGAAACTAGGTCCTACAGCTTGGACTTTTCCAACCCTGATAGACCAGCAAGGCAGAAACAATCAGTTCAGGAGCCCTTACCAACCTCTACAGAAATTCCAGAGCACTCAGCCCTGACACATTAACACGCTGTGCAGATCAGAGACTGCTGGATACACAGACCGACCAAGCCACCGACTTGTCTTCCAGAAGGCAGTTCTTACGTCAGCCACGAAGTGACCAAGCCACAAGTACTAAGGATTGAAATCAAAGATATGTATAGGGCATTAAATACTACGGATTTTTAAGTCAGATATCCATGAATAAGAACATATGATGGCTATCATTTAAACTTGAATACAAGGTCAAAATCAGCAACAAGTTCTACAGTCCAGTGCTGATATCAGATACAAACTTCAAGGACAATTTCTTTTCGAAGGCTTATTCCAATTTTGTGAGGCTAGCACGAGGTATATGCATTTGCCAGGGGCAAATTTATACTTTGGAATTAACCCATGCAGCAAATGCCACGCGTCGGCTCACAGTCCATTTGCGGTGGACGATGGTGGAGCTTAACTCTTCATACGCCTGCTTGCTGACCCACATCTGCTGGAAGGTGGAAAGTGAGGCCAGGATGGAGCTGCTGATCCACATTGAGTACTTGCACTCACGGGGAAGCACGATGATCTTGACCTTCATGGTGCTGGGCACCAGGGCAGTGATCTCCTTCTGCATCCTGTCGGGATGCCTGGGTACATGTGGTGCCGCCAGACAGCACCGTGTTGGCATACAGGTCTTTGTGGATGTCCACGTCACACTTCATGATGGAGGTGAAGGTGGTCTCGTGGATGCTGCAAGATTCCATACCCAGGAAGGAAGGCTGGAACAGTGCCTCCAGACACCGGAACTGCTCGTTGCCAATAGCGATGACCTGCCATTGGGCAGCTCACAGCTTTCCTCCAAGGAGGAGGAGAATGTGGCAGTGGCCATCTCATGGCCAGCCAGGTCCAGACACGGGATGGCATGGGGAGGGCGTAGCCTTCATAGATAGGCACCATGTGGTGGCCACCTCCAGAGTCCAGGACAATGCCAGTGGTGCGCCCAGAGGTGTAGAGGGACAGCATGGCCTGGATGGCCACATAAGCGGCCCAGGTGTTGAAGGTCTAAACATGATCTGAGTCATCTTCTCTCTGTTAGCCTTGGGGCTCAGGGGGTCTTTGGTCAGCAGCACAGGGTGCTCCTCTGGAACCACATGCACCTTATTGCAGGTGTGGTGTCAGATCTTCCCCATGTCGTCTGTATTAGTGTGTTTTCACACTGCTGATAAAGACATACGCAAGACTGGACAATTTACAAAAGAAAGAGGTTTAATGGACTTAACAGTTCCACCTGGCTGGGGAGACCTCACAATCATGGCAGAAGGCAAGGAGGAGCAAGTCACGTCTTACATGGATGGCAGCAGGCAAAGAGAGAGAGAGAGAGAGAGAGAGAGAGAGAGAGAGAGAGAGAGAGA